GGCAGTGCTTAAATCTGGGTAGGCTACTGTCCACATGATGTGATAGAAAGTGAAGTCAGTAGATAAATGTGGCCCATTTTTCTGGAGGGTCTATTTTACTTGAAGGTATGGGGAAATTTTAAAGTTACTATTTTGGAGCACAGTGTACAGTTCATGTGAATTTTTAAAGCTTAAGCGAGAAATGTCAAGTAAGTTTTGCACATGGGGCTACTTCAGACTGTGACTTGGTTCTTCTGAGGTACTCATGATACTCTCCCTTCAGGCTGATGTGGCTGTTTCTGTTCAGAGTGAAAAGGGCAGTGTGGCTGGGACTGGGAATGGCCTTGGTAAAGCTGGGAGAGGACTGGCCTTGATGGTGATGGGGAGAGCCTGAAGACCTAGCTTCTTTTCCCTCTTGCTAATATAGGGATAAGTCAAAGAAGAAGAAGAAAGTAAAGGTAAAGATGGAAAAGAAATCAACGCCCTCCAGGGGCTCCTCATCCAAGTCATCGTCAAGGCAGCTGAGTGAGAGCTTCAAGAGCAAAGAGTTTGTGTCTAGTGATGAGAGCTCTTCTGGCGAGAACAAGAGCAAAAAGAAGAGGAGGCGAAGTGAGGTGAGGCAGAAACACGGGGCGGTGGGGCCAGGAAGGGTGCGAAGCATGTGCATCGGTGTGGGAGTTGGTCTTGAAGAGTAATGAGTTGGCATGGGTGGGTGGAATTCTGGGCTTCTGCAGGTGTGTGCTACAGTTGGGGGAGTAGGAAATGGGGGCCCTTCCCCACTGAGGAGTGGCTGGGAGGGCAATGGGACTGTACACTTTTTCCCTTAAGAGACCTTTGGTTTTCAGGACTCGGAAGAAGAAGAGCTAGCCAGTACTCCCCCCAGCTCAGAGGACTCTGCATCAGGATCTGATGAGTAGAGAGGAGGAAGAGTGTCTCTCCTTGTGCTTGCCTCGTCACAGCCCCAGGCTCCTCCACCCATGTTTTGGTACCAGTTTCTCCTCATACGAAATGTAGTCCTTGGATTCTGTGCCATCTGAACAAACTCTCCTGCTGGTATGCACTTCACTGGAGCAGTGGGGGTCTTAACTCGCTGCTTCACAAGGATGGCTCTTTATTATTTGGGGAGAGATTGGGTGGGAGGCCGGGCAATGCAGGATCCAAGTTCTCGTCCTACTTTCCCACCTTAGGGATATAGCTGCTTCTTGTCTTGTTCAAGTTGCTGCAGCAGGAGTCATGTGAGGTCACGCCTGTAGCTCCTCATGGGGGCCTATTTCTACTTTTATTTTGTACTTCTGGTCTGTGAAAATCATTTAATAAAGGGAACTGACTTTGGAAACTGTGTCCTTATGCCTTCTTTCTAGCCCTGTTGTCTCGCTCCCACTTTTATTGGTGCTGTTTACCACTCGCCTTGACTGGGCAGGGCCCTTCTGGCTAGCCGGGAAGTGGGTCTCCAGGTACATCCTGTCCTGTTCCCGGCTGGACAGGCATTGGTTTTCACCCTCTGCCGGGACGGGCCACCTGAGAGTCTAGAAATGAGAGCTGATCTGATTAGAAAGTCTCTTCACCGCTTTACTCCATTAGCTAAGCTCGGGGGAGGCAGCTCTCGTCTCCATCCTTAATCACCTATGAGCCAAGGGTCTTCTAAGGCTTTAGATAATAGAATCAAGATTGACTGGCCTCCCTGCGACCGAGGGAGCAGAAACCTGAGCCTGGCGAGCTGGGGAGGGTGAGCGAGTGTGTTGGGTGGTGGGGTACCGTCTGATAGGGGTACGGGAAAGGTGGAGTATGTGAAGCTTTTGTTCTCATGGGAGGAAGGGAGGATACTAGATTTAGGTGTTAGGGAGAACCCATCTCTGAGGAGGGGGCCTAGAAGGAGGTGAAGGGCACCGACAGAAAAGCAGAGCTGCCAGACTTCTCGCGGAGGCTCTAAATCTGAACTTACACACGTGGGGCGGCCACGTTGCGTGCGTGCTCGGGAGGACTCGGGTGGCTGGCACAGGAAGCGGCTCCGGTCCGCCAAGACTACCTTCTTGCTAGCATGGCTCTATGGTGCTGCAATCAGTGCAGGCGGCGGGCC